GAAACCCGAAATAAAAAGACCTAAAACATGCCAAAAATAACCCCAAACCCAAACCTCTGCTTGGAGAGTAGGTATTTGTCAAAATCAATCTTACAATTGCATTTGTCTATCAATATCATTATCAACCTTTAGATTTTTTTTTCGTCACCAATTTTATACTTTACCTCTATAAAGAACCACTGACTGCCTGGAAGTATTAATTGTTTTTGGTGGCTGAGTTGTGGGTTCGTGTCTCTGCCCCATTTGCTTCAGATGTACATTGTATGGTGGTCGGGAGGTGATTTTGACACATGATTGATGGGCAGGCCAAGCCTAAAGGGGACTCAGTAAGTGGGCAGAGAGATTCAGGATGTGATATAATACCCAATTGAATTACATCATACAATCCTCTCCACAGTTCCAATAAAGGCAGAAAACCCCAAACACTTCCAACAGGTCTGTGAACTTGAAATTCACGAAAACCCAAATACTTCCTGGAAGTCTGAAATCTCTGATTCCTTATTTACAAATATATTGACGTGATGTTTCTACTGTTTTTCCCTTCAGGCAGCCCCTCAGGCCATTGCATGGTGACAGCAGCAGTCCTGTGGGTGGTGGCGTCTGGTCTGATGTCAGATCTATCAGCAGCTCCAAGTAACAGTTGGAAAAGGTTTGCTACAATGGAAATATCAGACCTACTTAAATAATGACAATCTCAACAGGATTTGTCAGGCTTGTAAAACTTTGGAAAGCATTCACTACCTGGTTAACCTTCAGCACACTGAAGGAGCAGTTCAGCTCCCAATTCTATGTTTGTTACTACAGGTTAGGCAGCACGGAGAAGGTTAAAATGCAGGCTCTAGATGTAAATAAATAAATGGTTATTGGCCAAACATCACCAGTGCAATCGCAGCCATATAGTGCTGAAGTGATGCAGGGTTTACAATCACATGATACAAATGGTAATAATACTAGTACACATAATAATACACATAAAATGATAATACACATGATACATATTTGTTCCACCCATATTTTTGTGGAACTGTCGCAAGGGTCTGTGCGGCTGCCATTTGGCGTCACCAGGTGACCTCAATATGGCGTGCCCCAACCGAAGTTAGGTACCCAATCACACCTGGGTGGAGTGAGGAAAGTCGTGTAAAGTACAAGTACCTTTCCCAAGGACACAACGTCAGGCGCATGTCCAGACATCTCCCGGGTACGACTCGGGATCGAACCTGGGTCTCCCGGTTCACAGTCGAATGATCTACCACTACGCCACCCGACACCACCATAATGTACTTCGCACTTTAGGAAAAAAAAAAGAAAAGAAGTATAATTGATGCAAGAATGTACATTAACTTTGGTACAGGCAACCACAAACAGATGTGCTAAGGAAAGAAACATTAATATTAGGATAAAATCAACTGTGTTGAATTTTCAGGAACCCGGTGATCAGAGCTGCTCCCTGGCTGGTGTACAGTCTGATTCTCACAGCAGCCGGTGTGTCCAGATTGTTCATCGCTACACACTTCCCACACCAGGTGGTGTTTGGCACAGCTGTAGGTCAGTATGAAATTTAGTGTACTATACTTCTTTCCTTTCAATACTAGTACATGTATATTGCTGTAATTCACTTTATGCTCACGATAGCAAAAGGTCGCAGTCTGAGAAAAATGAAGGTCTTCACAGAACTATATTTTATTTTATTTTTTTTAGTTTATGAAGATTTACCACATTTGTGGAAGGATTGACATAACAGGTGATTATCACCTCTTCAAGATGTCAAACCTGAGACCAGACCGTAACATTTGAACCACTCACACCAGGAAGGTCCCCTTCTTTTTTCAATAAGTGTGGTGGGTTCTTTAACGTGCGTGGGGTGTGGCTCTCTCCAAACACCGGTGCTCGCAGGTACACCCCAAGGGGGGATTCTCTCCCCGACTCTTTTCATTATCGCCATGAACAGTTTAGATCAAGGAATTCCACCGAGCATCACACCAGTTAAATATGCTGACGATCTAACGAACTCAGAGTTTTTGATGGCCTCCTTGCCGGGTCTAATGCAGGTGGCACTGGACAAAGTTGACGCCTGGGCAAACTCTTTCTGCATGAATGCCAATGCTAAAAAGACCAAAGATATGGTCATCAGTTGTCGCCGCAGCCCTGTAGTACCCCCTCCACTTACCTTGAATGGTGAATCCGTTGAGAGAGTGACCTCCCTCAAGCTCCTTGGAATTGTGGTCAGCAACGACCTTAAGTGGGGTCCTCATGTGGAATACATGCTAGCAAAGGTCCAGCCGCGCATACACTACCTGCGTGTAGCTAGGCGTGCTGCCCTACCCACGGAAGTACTACTGCAAATCTACAAGTCCTTTATCCGACCTGTGTTGGAGTATGGGTCCCCCGTCTGGGCCGGTCTTCCGCGTTGTCTGTCAGACGAGGTGGAAAGAGTTCAGAAGCTGTGCCTCAGGATTTGCGGAGTTCCCCATGGATACTTGCCCACTCTCGAGTCAAGGAGGAGGGATGCATCACTGAGAGAGCTAAAACAGATTCTACAAGACCCCACCAACCCCTGCAATGACTTTATCCCACCAAGAGAGAACACTGTATATAATCTTAGGAAGAACAGCAATCAGTTTAAGCTCCCATTAAGCCGATCGGACAGACACAAAAATTCCTTCATTGTAAGAGCCGTTAAAGACTTGTGATATGTATGTATATGTATATATATAAATTGTATTTTAAACTGAAATTGAACTATTTTAACCTACGTGTTTTTGATGCTGATTTTTAAATGATGATGATGTTTTTAATCTATTGTGATGTTGTTGTATGATGTATAATTGTAAAATGTCAATCCAATTCAGACGTGACCGAAGTACTTCGGCACGTCTGCCATGTTGATATTCAATAAAGATTTGATAACACGGGACCTCCATTTAAGGTGGCGCTGAGGTTACAATTATCACTCATGTGGAACGTGTCCGAAGTTGCCCGAATCTTGATGTATTCAGATGGGAGAGCTAGCAGCTGTGACAGGAGGGTGGTGTCAATTACGCCCACAAGACCCAACCCGCTTACACTGAAGGATGTTTCTTACAAAAGACAGGGATAAATACACTGTATACACACTGTGTGTCATATAAAAAGAGTTGTAGCCTTTAGCATCACATTAAAATATTGTTTCCCTTCATTAAAACATGTGATTACCCCTGAACATGCTGTATCTTGGAGCGATAGTAACGACCACTGTGGTACTTGGGAGATACCACGTAAGAAAAGGGTTTCTTTTATGTAGACAACTTATTGGTGCACACTATACATGTTTGTCGCTATAAGGTAGCAAAATACTAACAAAGAAATGAAAATTAACTACAAACTGTAAGTAGTTTCATGTAACTATGGACTCAAAACACAATATGGAACCTGCATGCTACTTGTTTTGAGTTGGACTCGTCCACACATGTGCGAGGCAGATCCCAGCCCTGCCAGGATCGTTCCCAGTGGGAACGTCACGGGGATTATTCCAATTAATGCAGTGCAGTGGGGCTACATAACAGGCCTCATTTGCATCTTCGGCAAACATCGGAGCCAATGGATACCTCTTTTTTGTGGCAATTTTTCTCCGGATTCATTCGGTTCATGCCTTATTTGGGTGTTTCACGTGGTGGGGTTGACCCCTTTCCTTGGCCGTATAAAGTTACATTTTTGGAGAGGTCGTTGCCCCGACCGAGAGACACACCAGAGTTTTGCGTCAAAAATCAAGCTTATTTCTCTAATATCTGTTGAATTTGGTCAAAATGTTGAAAAATGATTTTATAAGGACATGGCCTGTAGTGTTAGTAATGACTTTAGACTAAAGTTTTAGTGATATTAGGACAGCTTTAGGCACTAAACTTGCCACAAACGGATTGGGACCCCACGAACCGGAAGTTGAGTTTTGAGGTACAAATTTGCTAAATTGTCTCACTTTCTCCTGCAAAACATTTTATTTATGTGATCCACACATATTTTTGTTACTTGTGTGTGAATTTCATTAAATTTGAACTAAATCTTACGACGCTACGAGGTTGAGAAGTCACCGACTCCTATACCCTCCCTGCACCACCCCACGAGACCTCAGCGCCACCTTAATGTCCTATCCAAGGGACATCCCTAGCCAAAGCTAGGTACATGTACTCATGTACACCTGAGTGAAGTGAGGAAAGTCGTGTTAAGTGCCTTTCCCAAGGGCACAAGATCAGTGACACCGGGCAGGATTCGAACTCGGGACCTCTTGGACCTGGGCTGAACATGCTATCACTACGCCACGCGACCCCACTATGTTCACGGTGCAGCAAAAAGAAAATCAGCAAATTATTTCTAACAATAAACAATAGGCGACTGGAGAGAGAGAGAGAGAGAATGATAACTTTGTTGTACAGAAGTGACCGCAAAAGCTGTGAACATACAACTACCATGGAAAAATCTATTTCCAAGGTCTGATATGAGTCTATACTTGTTTCAGGTGTTCTGATAGGCTACATGTTCAACCGAGTCCAGGTGCAGTCTTTCCGTCCAAGGATGTGTGTTGCACTGTCAGCTGGCCTGGCTGTGTCAGCTATGGGACTCTATGGTATCCTTCTACATGTGAGTTGGCATTGTTTTCTTAGGTATTCTTCTACTTCTGTCCATGTATATGTATGACTGTGAGAGCTCTTTTCTGTTACTGTTACTAGTGTTAGGTGTAGTCAAGTTGTATTGATTTACCATACTTAAATTGGATGTTTTTAACTTAAGTTTGTACTGATATGGCCACATTTTGTGTAGTTGACTTCCTGAATTCAGCATAATGTGTTTCAGTTTATTTATTTCACCAGCAGTCCTACTTGTTGGGAACCCCCATGCAGGCCCTTCTTTTACCCTTTATGCATGGTAAGGCCACAGCAAGTAAATTTTATGGATGACTCCAAATTTAATACGAGCGGGCGGAAAAAAAAGACGGGCCGAAAAAAAAACAAGTTAGATTCCTACATTTTAGAATTTTGACTCAATCATTGCACAAATGGTTTTGATTCAGTGGGAACATCACATATACACAGCCAGTATCACATATCGCTGCATCAAAGTAAGAAACAAAACATTAAATCAGAGCCTTTTCTTGTTACCTCTCTTCATAGTTATCTGCCATCCACCTTCCGGCATGGCAACAGACATCTTTGCTCATTTTCGGCATGTTGACCACTGTCAGAAGGCAACAAAATTTTTTTTTTCAAAATCAGGCGAAAATTAATGTGCGTGCTGATGTCATCCATAAAAATTACTTGCTGTGGCCTAATGGTGTGTCTATGGGAGACGTCCTTGGTGCTGAAATGGGTGGTCCCTAACACTACCGCATGGGGTAAGGCTGTTTGGAAGTAGAGTACATTATGCTAGGGACTCATTTCCTAGCCGGAAAGTATAATACAAAAGATAATAAAATACACAAAACTTTTAAAAGATAAGCATAGTCATAACCATAGTTCGTGCATATTCTCGACATGTATTTTTTTTTATTTTCTCGTTCATTCAAACAACCCGGCCGGGCCCTGACTTGGTTACTGGTGTTCCGCGGAAGTTTTGGCAAGGATGGCCTTAATTTTACTGTATGATAAATTGTGGAAGCTCTTTAAAAAACATTTTGTCTTGAACCATACATGTTCGTATCTTGAAATATAACCCTATACACAAGCTAATATGCCTGATTTTTCATATTCAATAAGGAACCAAGCAGCACCAATATTTGTCACGTTGGACTTTATTTCAATGCATCCATATTTGAGTATTTAAACACACCAACGTCCTCAACCTAGGCTGGGAATTTTTTATCCGTATGTGTATAGACGGTATAATTTCCCTTTGGCGTAACACACAAGCTTGAAAGCGTGAAAGTTTAAGGAAGAATGATGTTACAGTGGATTGTAACTACTGTAGAATAGCTACATGTGCATGTCTGACAACCTTACAGTGGTGGACGTAACCATGGAGCAGCATCTCTAGGTGTAATTCAAGAATTAGCCGTTAGATGGCATTTCAGCTAGGTTTGTAGCTGTACCTACCATGGCCATGTCCTCAGTTGATCTTCTCTTGAAGGCACATTGCCGCTTCACTACAATATACTTCTAGAATGAACAGAACAAGTTATCACCATCCCACATATCTCGGGCAATAGTCGCTTATATCCTATCTCCAAGCAGATTTTGAGGATAAAGTCCCTCCCCTATTCTTGGTGTTGATCATCATCCACACACAGGCAACCACACCTGTCCTTGTTGCTGAACACTGGTAGTGTCCACACATAGGCAAACACCCGTTAAACATACCTGCCATTGGTGCTGAATACCATCCATAAACAGGCAAACATACTATTCACACTCAGTACGTTAAACACACCTGTCCTTTATCCTTACCACGCAACACACACAAACACGAAACACAGACACTCACCCACACACACTCGCACACACACACAAACATGCAACAGACACACACTCATACAGACACACTCACACTATCAAACACACACACACACACTCAAACACACTCACACTATCAATAACACACACGCGCTATCAATAACACACACACACGCTATCAAACACACTCACACAATCAAACACACACACGCGCGCGCGCGCACACACACAAGGAAACTTCAGTGCAATCCTTGAATACAAGTTTTGGCTAATAAAAACAAAATCAAAAACAGCATCTGTAAGCACAGCCTTGTGCAGTAGGTGCCTTTTTGGCAACGCCTCTGGTGCAGAGCAAATTTCCTTATACAGTTCCAATCATTCGACTAAGATGCCCTGTAACACAGAGAATATGATGAACAGCAGAAGGGGGTAAGGGTAGAGCTGCTTCGCGCCACTTGCATGTTGGAATTTCCCGTCATCCCTTTCGTACACCCTTCCGAATAGAGCGGCTGAAAGTAGGGGTTTGGAGATCCCGGATGTGCTCACTAAGGTACCGTCTTCATAACTCCATTCGCCCACTGCAAGGTCGATACCAACATCCTTCGTCAGAACCTCTGGGAAGACGTGAGGGAACTTGAAGTTTCCTGCCAACTGGAGGTGGGAGAATGTCGTCTGCGCGTCGCTGGTCGGCTGGCCGCAGCTGTCACGTGACGAGTCGGCGCACTTGACGAGTGCGCAGATCTGCAGGTAGTATTGTCCTTCATTCGTGTGAAGGTCGTCAAAGGCGCCGAAAGCGTAGATTTCCGACGAGCTTCCTGATTTAGTGTAATTTAGGCTACAGCACAAGCCATTTTGACAGACAATGACGTAGTCACTTTCCTTCTGCAGCTCAACGAAAGTGAAGGGGTCACCGAACAAGTCAGAAATGAAAGCTGTGTCGTGCTCTGTGATTGGTAGCTCAGTGGTTGTAACGGCCCTTTTCATTGGTTTGATGGGGACTTCTGCGACCAATAGCCTTCCTTCAGTCGAGTTCATGTCGTGATAGTAGCTAACGGCACCGGAAGGGGTGGAGATAGTACTTCCGCTCATACGTCTTTCGATGACGTGTGTGTTAGCCGACAGGAAGTTGACACCCATGCCTATGGCCCAGGCTTGGTGGAATTCCACGGATACGAAAAGAGGTAAAACGTCCATCCAAGCCGTGGGGAACACGATTGTATCCACGCCGTAATCTTCCACCAAACCTACGGCAGGGTCGTGGAACAGAATATCAAAACAGGTGAAGACACCGAACTTCCCGAACAGGGTCTGGAAAGTTGTGAACTCCACTGACGGCGGACGGTTGAACTGGAGTTCGTTCATGAACAGGTGCTCCTTGTGGTACCTGGCGATGATTGTGCCTTGGTTATCGAAGACCACGTCCGTGTTAAACTGGTATCTACCGTCAGCAGGGCAGGAGCTGTCCTCAGAAACGTCGCAAAACTGTTTGTCGCCTAAGTTTGCGACAATGTAGATGTCGTTTTCTTTGGCCATGCAGCTTAGTTCACGCTGGACTTGGGTGTCGTTGAAGCGGCCGGGATCGTCGCAAGGGTTCCATACAATTTTTTCCGGGTCGGGGATCGTCTCCAAGTACGGATATAAGTCATCTCGTGATTGGAATCCGTAGATTCCGTCCTCGGGAAAGACTATTATGTCCGCACCCTGTGGGAAAAGCAAACACAAAATGCTGAACTTGTAACAGAAAAAAGAGCTTGAAGATATGTATGATGCAATTAACACAAAGTGTTGCAACACCAATACATCTATGTAACACTCCGGCCCAAAGGTCACATTTTATCACAGTGAGTAGCAAACTGTGCCAGCTGTAAGTACCCTTTGTTTGCCGAAAAGCAACCCTTGCTAAAGAGCATTTCAATATTATAAATTATAGGCTAAATAAACATATACATGACAGGCAAACGCGTTACCGGTACTTTGTAAATACATTATTTTGCCAATAGCTCTGGCTTATAAGTTATATTCGTTACTTCTTTTTTTTTTTTTGTGCACCTGCTTGGTCTTCTTTTTTACCGACTTCACAAGTCTTCAGCTCTGTGCCTTATGAGGTTGTAAGCAAACAAAACTGCTGATAGCAAGGATGAGGAGGCAGGTCAATGTCCGTTAGGTCATATATGTCGTATGATCAATTATCATCATACGAGGGCATTCTTAATATAACCATGTATGTGTTCTGCAAAATTCAGCTGCCTTATAACGGAAAAGTCTGTCTTAAATTTTTTCTGGCGGTTGGTTCTGTCACGGCCTGCTCTTGAAAATTCCACGGCATCAAAACGTCGAATGTGACAGCGCCGAAATTCAATTTGTCCAAGATTCAATGGTAAAAACTCAAGAAAAAAGACAGACTTGAGACTGCATTTGGAAAACCTATTAAGGTTGTACCCAAAGCCATAGTACTAATGGTTTTTCTGAACATTCCTTCTAAAACATGATTAAGTCAGAAGTCTTGATCCTACCTGCAGCTTGGCTTCTCTTGTCTGAACTTGGTAGACGTCCAGGTTTTGTTTCATGAAGTCCAGCGCTTCTTGCCTAGTTGGGGGCTGGCTAAGGTCATACGTCCACATAACGGCATGTTCGTACACGGCTGCCACAAAACTCGTGTTGTCGTAACACCACACAGTCTGTGCCATCCACAGAAACGTAAGTGTGCCCAACGTCTTCATGTTGTCGGTTTGATGACGTTTGTCACAAACTATGCTGGTCGCGATGTTCAGCAGTTGTTAGAACAATTAATTGGAAGTGGCACGTTCCATTTTTCTTAAGAGGGGTCCCTGTAATGTTACACAGTGCTCAATTCTCATACAATTTAGATGCCTGAAGAGCAAACCTAGTTTAACTAATAGATTAACATTGGACATGATGCAAGTAGGTGATTTCATTTCTATCGTAATAGAGGGCCACTACGAAAGGTTGTTCGAAAGAAGCTAAAGAATGACACTGGTCTCTTAAAAGGGTTGCTGAATAATAGTAGAACCATATAGAATTATAGTAGAATTGTTTCTTATTTTTGCATAGCCAGTGAACCGCCTTTAGGTGTAACATGCCAGTTTTGTACATGTACATTACAAGCTCCGTAAGATCAGACTGTAAGGTTTGATTGACCCACTCACACCAGAATGACCCCTGCTCTTTTCGCAAGTGCTGTGAGATTTTTAACATGCTCAAGGTGTGGCTCTAGCCTTGCAAAACTTGGCCAAATGGACTGAGTGTATACGCCAGGGAAATACTTAGTAAGTCGGTCATAGGAGTTCACTTTAGACATCTAATGAGTCTATAATGGCCTTCTTCAAATGGTATAACACGGCATTCATAGCCTCCTGTGCAAACTGTTTCTTTTCGAAGATTGGGCCTTGATTTTGGGGAGAGTTGCATCGACGGAGAGGGCTGTATCGCCCGCGCTAGGTTTATTTATTGTTCTCTGCTTCACATGAACGATAATTACCTGTTCCCACTTTGCGAATGTCAACTGAAGAATGTTTGTACGTTTGAAATACTATTACATATCTGTCTTACAACCTACCTGTTTTAAGGTAGCGTTTCTTGTGTTTTATATTAAGGCCACACCGTCTTAATTTTATGGATGACATCCTCTGAAGACCCACAAACTAGTGCACGCGGGCAAATAAAAAAAATTCCGGCCAAAAATAAAAATGTTACTAAACCACAGGAATACAAAGCTGGTATTGTGAATTTGCGGCAGTACATAGCGACATATAAGAGAAGCTGGCACATGCTGGTCTTTTGCGGAATTTATTAGTCGGCACTGTACGTATGCACGTACGTATGTAAGTTCTTGAGTCGTGGAGCTTCAGTTGCCTGGGTACCATCCTCCACCGGCTCCCTATTGTCGCTAACTACTATGCACAACTTAGGCCAAGAGACGTGATCTTTTTTTTTTTTGAGAACCAGTGAAAGTCAATGCGCGCGCGGATGTCATCCATAAATTTAAGTCGGTGTGGCCTAAATAGGAAAGATAAGATTAGTGTTGTGTAAAAAGTACGCTCTAATGCATTATAGAACCTTAGCCCATGGGAAAAAGGTATCATTAAGTCGGTGTGGCCTAACATAAAAGATTTTTTTCTTCATTTCTACAGTTGTTCAGGGTGGATCCCTCCTGGTCTATACAGAAAGCGATGCAGTGGTGTGCAAACCCTGACTGGGTACATCTGGGCACAACACCCTTCTTCTCTATAGCACGAGATTCTGGCTCCTCGCTGGGTCTGGCTGTAGCCCTTCACTCCATCCTCCCGCAGGTCGGGACTAGAACCCACAACCCCCTGGACACTAGCTCACATGAAGGTAAAGCTAGTGGTGTCAGCACTGTTGGCTTTATTCTGTTCTTACTGTCTTTAACACTGAGTACCGAGTACTGGGTTCTACCCCAGGACCCACAGGTCTTGTTGTACTCACTGGTTTTCATCAAAAGTGGCTTTTTGACTGTAGCAGTCATCAGCCTTGTGACAGGTTTTAGAAAAATGATCCAGAAAAAACAGAAAAATTGGTGAAGGATATACATTCATGGATATGTGAGTAAAGATTACATTGTAATTTGATAATAGATGAAATAGCTATTTTGTAGATACATTTATACAAAATGTCTCATTTCCATCCTCAAAAATTCCATCTGTTTGTCAATGTATGCAATTTTTGTGTACTTAAGAATAATTCAATTTCAGTAATCTGTTGCGCATGCCAAAATGTGAAAAGTCATGCCTAAAAAAGTCATCTACAGATTCTATTACATGTAATTCTGGTGTGGTTATATTTGCAATACATTGCCAAATGAATGTAAAATGCACAATACTGATGATGATCCCATGTTCTGTGGCTGTATCACAGTTATGCCAAAAAGCAGTTACTCAAGCAACTGGATATGATTTTGGAAAATTATATCCAGTTGCTTGTCATGAGTATTTGCTTTTTGGCATATCGTATTACCTGGATGTCTAACCTTCACCGACGTATTACAGTTATGCTTTTTGTATTTGTTGCATAAAAGGATTACAGGCAAGTCATTGTGCAGAAAGATTTAATTAAATCCCATATTCAATATACAAAGATAGGAAAGACCTTTAAATAGACACCCTGTCATATACATGTACATGACCCAAATTGTTTTTATTTTTCAATTAAAAAATCCATAATCATTTAGTGACATACTTTTTGCAATATGCCATGGTATAATGTTGAGGCACTATGCTTCCCAGAGCAATCACTGAGTGATTAAGATTATATCTCTGACAATTTTTTAAATATCAATGTATGATCTTGCAGGTTTTCAAGACAATGTTGGCAATGTACCGGTGCACATAGATTCAATCTCAGGTTTTCTGTTGTTGTAAGCCAGTCTCAAATTTCTTGCATATTAAAAGTAAAAAGTTATGCAATGTGATATCTGGAAACTGCGTGGCAAGTCATTTTCTTGAATGATTAAATACAGGGTATCTGTCTTATTCCTCTCCAAACATTCATTTTAATGTATTACAATGTATTTTCATAACTAACATTTGCAAAGCAAATGCATACTAGTAATGTTTACCTTCGGACATGGTCTGCTCTGTTAATTCTTACTCAAACACATTCACATACATGTACTACTAATATATGGTGACAGGAGCATAGCAGACCATGAAATTGCAACATTATGTAACCCAACACCAGTCACCATGGTGACAGATGTCAACAAATCATGTCAGGTCAGAGGTCACTGGAGAAGAAGAAGAGGAAGAAACTGAGCAAAAACAATATGTTTTCCTTCGGTAAACATAAACATCTTTGGCACAACTGCACAATTGCTTCAGTATCCAGTTTTTCTAGTTGAACACCCTTTACACAGTAAAATCCTTGTTGAGCATGTATGTTTTACAGACTTAAATACATGGTATGCTTACATACTAATGCTAAATACATGAGATGATATACATGTAACCAGAAAGTAACATTTTCTTACACAATGAAAAGTCTTTGGACCAGCCAAGGACATATAGATACGTGAATTTCAATTTATGTAGCTCAAATGAGTTTGACAGATTTTACGTATGAAAGAGTAGAAAAGTTTAAATTGTTATAGAATATATATTTTACAGCTTTATCCTTGATGATACATCATTTTACCCCATAAAATACTATTGTGTACAAATACTCTACAAAAGCCTATGTCTCTCTCTGTCATATCACAAAATAATACAAATGTATCTTCTCTAGATCTAAAAGATCTCATATTCTAGGCACATTATAATACATTGTGACATTGTATATATATTGTGACATAATAATTGTAACGTTAAAAAGCATAAATTCTTATGTATTTGTCATTTTTAACAAGTGTCATTTCAGCAATGATATTTGACACAAACATTTACAGAAATTCAACTTTCATAAGATTTTTCAGGTAATAAGAATTATGTAAATCCATATATTACGTACATTAACATTCAATAACATACCAATGTTACTAAACACAAAAACTGTACAAGCACAGTGATCAAAGAAAATTCACTTTTTCTACTCTAATTTATGCTAGAAAGTATTAAGTTCTGTCACAAGTTGGTGTAGAGTCTACAGTTTACTGTTACAGTAGCATACCACAAGTCTAAGGGATATCAATGACCCCAAATAGTTCCCAGTGTTGATGTTTTATGTCATACACAAAAATCTAAAATCTAAAACCTAACTGCTGTTGTCATGTCGAAGCATTAAGTATGAAATTATGACACTAGAAAATAGTTACACTTACTTCCAATTTATTTGATAAACATGCCTCATACATGTACACTGAAAATCGACAATCCTCTGTCCAAATAACTATTTTAATCTGTACTTTTATCCATACTGTTTCAAATTTCAGATGAAATTTTATATTTTCCTAGCCTGACAAACAAATTTTCCAGTTCCATGATGCTTGAGATGTGTGAAGGACTTGATGTTGTAGAGCTAGCCGCTGCTCAATAATATTGGTTACATAAGGATTGCATAGAGAGTGAGTTCAACATATTAGAAGGTAGCGCAGCTACAATCTTGTCTCTGGCTCACTGACTTGCTGTTGGGAGAAAATAAGAATTCAGTCAGTTTTGTTCTTAAGAATTCTGCTCAAAATGATAACATTTGATGCAGAGCAAGCATTTTGTAATATAAAGTTTTGTTATATATAGTAAAATGTTAAATGTTAGTCCAACACACAATTGTACAGGGATCAAATTTTCAGCGACCACTATCGCCTTCATCAGGATAATTAATGACCAATCACTTCACAACGTGATCTCGCGAGAGTTACAGTTACAAACACGTGACCTTATTCACACAAGACTTTACTGATACGTGACATAAGCAATTGGTCAAAAGTGCCAATCGTGAAGTTTTGTTATAGTGTGAAATAAGGCCACTCTTTTATTTGGTATCACTTTTTTGTTTCCTTTTTTGTATGAAATGTGAGATGATAATTAAGATGATAACTTACCCTGTAGACACCATAAGGTTGAGGGTCGTACTTTGGCCGCTTGATCTTGAACTATATAAACAAGATTAAGCATTGTAACTTGGGATGCATTCAGAAAGAAGTAATATCTTCCAAACAATTTCAGCATTTTAATACTGCATTTTTTTTAAAGTCATACTGGTGACATTCCAATTGTCAAATAGAACACAGTTTGTTCAAACTAGTCTCACTGCAAATGTCTTCACGTATGCTAAAATGCCAAGTACATTAAATCATATTGGGCCCAGTATTGAGCCTTGAGGAACACATCTATACTTACTGGGACAGTTGGGTCTATGTTCTGTACTGAGAACTTGCTTGGTGCACGATTTAGGCTTCCTTCCACCTCCCCTCGTAGCTGGGTCTTCCCTTCGTAGCCAAAGTTGTCAAACATGTGAACATGGTGTCCGTCCTCATCCACGTTACTCTCTGCCCAGCCAGCCTGCGGAATGATGGGCTGGAATAGTCCTCTTTCCTGGGCCAGTTTGTCAGCTACATACCTGTACAGGTAATAGGGATAACAGAAAAGCATTAGTGAAAGGTACACCTTGACAATGTAGCAACATTTTTAAGGACTAATGAATATACATGTAATACGCTTAGCAAATTGAAACTCCAATTTACTTGAATAAATGTCTTATTTCCGTCAAAGTTTAGTTGGTGACATGTGAAATCTGCATCAGTCTCATGCAGGTATCTTGTACATTTGTACTTTGTTAACAACTTGCTAGGGGGCAGTGTTTACCTGTTCTTGTAGCGCCCAGAGCGTCTCTTCTTACAACAGGTGGCCACCACCAGTAGCAGCACCACCAGGATGAGAACTCCTGCCACAGAGGCTGCCACAATGATGTATGGTAACAGCTGGACCACCGCTGTAAGGAAGATGTTAAGGGAATGATGTTAGCAAGTGGCTTATTGTACATCTGATAAAGTCAGAATGTTGTGTTTCAGCATTTTTGTTTTACTTAAATGTCTATTCCTTTTTTTTAAATGTCTATTAGTGCTGATGCTGTTACAGAAATTTGAAATAGTATAATAATAAGTATATAATAGTATATAATTGTTGTACATTGCATACTCCCTAGATGTACATAACATTTGATAATATTGGGCCTAGTATTCAGCCTTGAGGAACACCTAAGCTGAAGCTGTTACAGAAATTTGAAATAGTATAATTGTTGTACATTGCATACCCTCTATGTACATGTACATTTTGATAATATTGGGCCTAGTATTCAGCCTTGAGGAACACCTAAGCTGAAGCTGTTACAGAAATTTGAAATAGTATAATTGTTGTACATTGCATACTCTCTATGTGCATGTACATTTTGATAATATTGGGCTACTTACCATCTTGTGTAAGAGTCTGCTCACATGTTGTCCCTGTGTACTTGACACCTCCAGATTCATCACACCTGTAGAATGACATACATTTATAAATTTTTCTCCTGGTAAAATTCTTCACAACAATGAGACACATAGTATGAGGCTGCTGTGCCAGGGGTCATTCTTCAAACTGATGGATTCTGCTGCAATACATTCAACTTCAAGTGACCTTTTAGCACCCCTTTGGCCATGTTGATTTGATTATATGAATGACATCATCTGGGAACCCTAAAACTGATGTGAGCGTGCGAATAAAAAAGGTTTGGAAATCTAACAAATGACTGAACACACAGAGTATTAGTATAGCGACTGACTTTCCCTTTTTCTGCAACTGACTTTTCACTTTTTCTGAATTTTCATTTCTGCACATCTTTTTTTTTTCCTTTGGAATTGATTTTGGCATTCTACAGCATTTATCAATATCTTTTTCAATTACAGCATATATTAGTATTTGCTCATTTTGCAGCTGCTTTCTATGATTTTAAGTATGGCAATGTTAATTTGATTATATGGATGACATCAGCACGCGCATGAATTTTGGGCCATTTCCAATTTAAAAAAAGTTTTCAACCATACTGTAAATCATACAAAACAGTTGCAAAATGAGCAAATATATACAGCAAGTTGCAAAAGAAAAAATATTGGAAAAGGATACCAATGCCGTAGAAAGCCAAAATCAAACGAAAAAGTCGAAAATGTAAAGAAATGAATTTGAAGACTAGATTATTCGCCACACCATATGCTGTGTCATTTGTTCAACCTTCATAACCACGTAGATTTCTCAATGAAAACAACTTTTTATTTGCCAAACTTTTTCTTATTCGCACGCTCGCATCAGTTTTGGGTTTCCCAGAGGATGTCATCCATATTCTAGTAATCAACATGGCCTATGGGCAAAAACTTTTTTTTTAAACAGCGAAAATTCATAAATAATCAGAAAATAATCAGATCAACATTTGGTATGACTGTTCTACCCACGTGCACTTGAGACTTTGCGTGCCACTACTGGAACAGACCCCGTTGTTGAGACAGTATCCCTGGTTGAGACTGCAGGTTGCTACACAGGCTGTACCGTACTGGACACACTGCAGCCCGTCTGGACACGTGCAGTCGGTGATGTTTGCAGTCTCACCTGTGTAAGAAACAGGAGGAGTGAGTAGAAACAGATAAAATAAAACCTGGTCCCGGGCCGGGGTTCAAACCCACAACTTCCCGAGCACCAGCTTCAAATCCGACACTCAAACCACTCAGCTAAAAGGTCTAGACCCATCGGCCGGGTCAGTTGGTAGCGCTTATAAACCCTCCACTGTTACACTGGACAACAGGATGTGTAACGGTTATGACTTATTATGAATATTGTAATTAGGGTAATATGTAAATGATCACGTGGAAAGACTTGTTATAGAGAGCTATGCATTATTTGCGCGTCTAGGCAGGCCCTGATTGGTTGGTGAGAGCAACCAATCAGGTTAGGGACTATTGAGACAATCGCTGTGTTAGTTAGTCGGTGACCAAGGACTCAGGTACGTGTACATGTGTAGTTATAGCTCTGTAGATTAGTACTGTATAAGTGTTAGTATCTCATCTGTGTAATCCTAGACCATTGGTAACTCTCTGTGTAACTGAGTGCTAAAACTCCTTTGTAACCATTAGACCACATCTACCTGTATTAGAGTTAACATACGGATCAATAAACCCGGCTCAGCAGAAGTGATCGAACTGTTTGGATCTCTCTATATACTAAGATATATAGAAGCTAAGATACCAAACGACCACCAGACCTCAAATATTACAGATGTATGGACATTCTCTTAGTCAAAGAACGCTAGCCTGGGAACCATCCTGGTTAGTTTATGTCCCACAATCGCAAAAGCCAACGTAAACCAACCAGGATGGAACCAAGGCTACTTCGAAGAAAGACATCCGATTCGATATCTTAAATCCACAAGCAACATGCACATAGCAAACAATTACAATCTAGCTACTCTCCAAGCAGTGGTTGGTGGGGAAGACTTTGACCTTTGTATTGCATGTTGCAACGGAAAATGGGGGCCACATATATATGATAGAAAGGTCACAATCTTCATTGAAAATTCATGACACTGCAAATACAGCACGATGATTCCTTCCTTATTGTAGTACACAATTACCTCCTCCTACCAAAATTGCTACATGTTCTACATATCAATTTTCTGGATATTTTAACATTATACAAGTATAGATGATTGCCCTTGAAAGCTCACCATTAGAGAGTTCTACTTGCACGTCCAGCACGGTGAGGTTACCGAGACTGCCGTCCCGTGTGGCCGTGTACACCGCTACAACCTTCTCCTGCTCACCCGCAACGTCTAGTACCTCCTGGAAAATCAGCGTCATGTTCGCCACTACACTTCCCGGGCTGGGGAAACAGATAAGGTACATTATCACACACTGCTGTCTTAAACAATTTAGGGCCTGGCCACATGCCTCGTACAACACCGTACAATCATTGTTACTCTCTGATCGCATACTGAATGCACTCTTCTTCTTCTTTCATACTGCTTTGCCCAATCTCGTATCAATCGAACAGTGAAGTTGCGGATACCTATGTTAGCTATAACGTTAAAACAATTGACTGGTACAATTCAACAAAACAAGGTGTACATACAGATCAACTTGCAGATCATATATGTGTGTTTTGTGTGTGTATGCGTGTGCGTGTGTGTATGTGTGTGTGTGTGTCGGTATGTGTGTGTGTTTGTGTGTGTGTGATAAAGGGGTAGCATACCAATAACATGCATTTGAACCATGTAAATAAAACTTACTTGAAATTGTTGACTCGACATTCAACATACGTCGGGTCGCCTTCATACAGCTTGTTGGTCTGCAGATGATAAGAACGTTAATTGTAACTTACACAAAAAGCGGTAAGATACGTCTTTAGACAGCACTGTTTTAACCAAATAAAATTATATCATCATATTGTAAAAGTTAAACCGTTTACAAACTCCGAAATTGCATGAACTCACCGGAAATTTTGACCGACTCACTCAGTCTTATTCAGCTACATGTATCTGACCCAATCGCTCAGGACATGTTACTTAACGCCCCGTGTGACGTCAGCAATAGGTTTGTAGGTAGTCAGTATCGCGCCCCCCCCCNCCCCCA